CAACATCGCAATACGTGTCTAAGCAGACTTCAGCAAGGAGGACACTTCGATTCTAGCACGGGAGATTTGCCACGGACTTTACTGAGTTACTGAATAGACTCTTTACTCCCATCTTTATCGTCTTGATATTATACTAATTGTCAACGTTACTTTTATTCGTATTTTATCCAACTGTTTTAATTGTTCAACGTTAGACAGGACTTAAAACTAATAGCCTATAAACGGGTCATTTATAATACATGTTGCATGCAACGTATGGCAAGAGTCTCTCAGTCTAGTAACAATACTAAACTTGACAACACAACTGAAATACGGCCTCTCACTCTCAGTAGCAATACTAAACTTGACAGCACAACTAAAATTATACAGCTCTTCTGATCAGTAGCAATTCTGAACTTGACTGTTGACTTGATTGACGATGTCAACCCTTCCAGATCGTTGCTCCGCGAAGCTCAGAGCAACGATCTCGTCATCTTGCTTCGATGCCAAATCGTCGTTTGAATGTTGGACAATTTCGAAACTTAACTTAAGTACTAGCAAAACTGCGCGTTTTGCTCTAGAAACACACTTTTTTAGAGATTTTACCGGCGTATCCTCTAAAATCACCATCTCATCGTAGAATATGATGCTGATCGCGTAAAGAGAATGCTTCCCGGAATCAGAATATTGAACAGACATTTTTTAAGGATTTCTTCGGATGCTGTAGATTTTTTAACAGATTTCGGCCTATTTATTTTGAACACTAAACAATCGGCCACATTTTTAACTTAATTTAATTTTAACCCGCCCATTTCACCTGCATGTTGCATATTTTGTTAAAATATAATTGTTTCACGAGTAGGTCCGCAAAAACTTAAGGATCTGCATTTTCGGACCTTATCAGTGTAGTGTAATATGGTAAGCTGGTTGCAGCAGGGTTTAGGCTTTTTAGATCTTGATTGATTGAGGAGCACTACCCGAAGGCATTACTCGGCACTAACGCCTTAAAATCTTTAATTACAATCAAATATAAATATATGCACACAATGTATAAAATATTAATTTAATGTATAAAATATGATTATGCTATTAGCAAATTTAAATAGTGCTATTAAGAATTTTAAATAACTCTTATTTCTTGACATAAATTTAGAACAGCGACACAGGGTCTGAAGAATGCGCGGTGATATTTTTATCTTTTAAAAGTTGTAAATGACAGTGAAATTGCGCGGTATCGATAGCATTGTAAAAAATGCTCGAAGATAGTCATTATAGTTCGTTATGAGGTTAAAGTTTTGTTGCTCGTTATTATGATCAACGTATGTTGTACCAAATTATTTAAATTTCTAAAAGTACGAAAATTGAGTTGTTCCAGTCCTTGTCATCCGGGTTAATATATATAAGTGCTTGTGCAGTAAGCACATGCTTGCTGACTGTAGACTTGAATGAATTTAGGAATTTGTCTTGTAGGCAAGTGGTGACGTATTTTATGTCCTTGTTAATAATGTTGACTGTTTTGTTATATAACTTAGGCCCAATGTAAGAAATGCTCTTGTCTGAATTACATAAACGGTTAAATGGTACTGCAAAGAACTCAGGTTCTCTTCTAGGTGCGTTTAAGTTTGAAACAGTGAACATTCCTATAATATTTGGTGGTGCAGTGTTAGAATAAACTTTGTGCATGATTAAGCATAATATACATTTAGCTATCACGTTCGGTAAAGCTAATATTTCTAGTTTATTGAAAATTTCCTTTGTGTGTGAAGGTGTACTATTCAGATCTTTGTCATAAAAATAGCGGTGGTATTGGTTATCTTTTAGAATATTCTAGTATAAGTGTTAAATAACCGTTAGGATTAGTGTAAGATTAGATTAGATTAGTGTAATAGATTATGGATGGTTTTGCGGAGGTAGACACGTGTTAGTCAGGTTAGCTAGTTAAGTTAGGTTATTGGACAGAATGGGCCGCGCGGTGTCACGTGGTTCGCCATGTGATGTCACGTGACCCAGTGCTGTTAGTGTTTGCTTGCCCCGTTAGCGGCAGTTCTTCGAGGAGCATTTAACGGTAAGGTTGTAAAAGTTACCGCTTCCGAGAACAGTGTAGCGTGGCCTTCGAGTCACTAGTCTTGGTTTATTGATCAAATAGTAATTTATTGCCATTCGAGACTTATTGTTCGAACACCCTGTTTCCTTTGTTCTTACCTAACTTAGGACTCGATCAAGTCATTCGATCTTTTAAAGTCATACGGCACTCAGTAGCCAGTAAGATCAGCTAAAGTGAAATTGCAGAGCTTGAGAGCTAGATATTTGCAGGTATTCGTGTACGAGACTTCGATATCGTACCCGTATATTTCTTTAAGTACCGTGTACGACACTTCTCTATCGTACCCTTGTACATTTTAATTACCCGTGTACGCCACTTCGTTACCGTACCTTTGTGAGCAGGCAGTGTTGACCATTGGTACGCCCCAGGAGGACTGATCTGGTTGCCAACCTTATTTTACACTAAGTGGGCCATCCTATATTTCTGAAAATAGAAGAGACGTCGACTTTATTTTATATAAAAATATCTCAGTTATTTTGTAGGAAACGGTATAGAATGAACCTGGTATCTAGAAAATAGGATGGTGATGTAATTATATCGAAGTACCTGGTATATAGAGATGTTTCACTTTACGTTATATAAACACTGGGTATTTACTAAATAAAATATGTGTATACTAATAATCACGACACATTTTTATTATCATACTTAATCTTAAAGTCGCTATGAGTTTTATGTTTCATTTAATCAAAACTTACCATTCAGGCTGGAAAATGTTATGAAAACTTATACAGCGAAAACAGTGGACAAGTTTGCCAGCTGACTATTTTTTACATATTGTGAGTAGTAGAAATGTATACCTTTTTAATTAAACATTCCTCATGTGCAATAAAACACATGCATTATTTGTCTACTATTTCATATTTCCAAAAGGAGATTTCTCAGTATCCTTTTAAAATGGTTATTATAGTGCGGTCCGGACTCTAGAGCTTGAGACTCTGGGGCAGCGCCCTACGAATTTAAGTATCGAGGGAAGGTTACCCAATTACAATATGCATTTTTTTCCAAGAATTTTGTGCTGGCCGAAATTAGCGCTAAAAAATCATCTTACCGTCGGCTTACTGTAAATGGCGCACTACCATTACCTACCTAGACCAAAAATTCTAGAAGGTAGACATTTTAAACTTTTCACTTAAACAACAAAGTTAAGTCATACGAAGTGCCGTAAAGTTTACATCCATGGTAATTCGTGAACGGTTGCTAATATCGGGGAAAATTCTGTAGTTTATAACCTACCGTACCAAAACGCGTGCCGAGTTGGACTCGTTGACGGAAGATGATTAATCACTCTACACTCGACTGTCACGTGACTTCTTTAACCCGTTCTCTAGCTGGCCCTGAACGACTATTCAAAACCCTGACCCTCTAATCTGATCCCAACGTGATCGAGACAGTTTTTCGCCAATATCTCGCCAGAGAGAATTTTAACCCTATGTCATGGGGGTGATTCGGAATCAGCGTCCGAAAATACATCGATTCAAGTTGGTTTCAACTGTCGGGGGCCCTTTTAGAACAATCTCGAAGATCGACTGTAGAGTGATTTAGCACGCTCGCTCGTTGACGGTCTAAATCTAATATTTGGAACAAATATTTTATTTTTACGAGTATATCTCACCCGTTAAGAAAAACTGCCAGTCACTTTTGGAAATAAATGTTGCTTTTTAAAGAATTATAAAAGACAATATTTGAGGCAACGAAGAATTCGCAACTTGCTTTAAAAGTACATTAAGTGCGTACTAACGAACTATGGCCGTTCGTATATCAAGGACCGCGAAGATCCTTGGTATATAAGCAACATTTGACAGAGCATTGTGTGGAGTGAGCTATGTGCCCATCCTTGGAGAACCCGGCGAATGTCCTTGCTGTACGGCAGTGTTAAACAAGGAACTGAAACCGAGGGGTTCCGTTCAGGCCCTTCACACTTTGTTTCTGTCTAGTTCTAATGTACCGTCACAATAGTGACTTTAAATATATATATATTAATTTGAATAACCGTCCGCAAATGCAATATGATACTGATAATGAATCCGGTCGCTCGCTTTTTCCATTCATTTACAATTGTAATAGAAAACCCACTTCCCAATACACGACTTCCGATGAGACTTAATGCCTGGAAAATAGTAAAGGGGGTATAATAGTATAGAATGTATAACTATTATAAGAGCCGCGGTCATCAGGTCATGCTTGCCAGAATGACTGTGATAACCATGACATATTATTATTAGCTTCCTCCCTGTGACCACGGGTTTTCTAGTCTCTACTATAATTCAGAGAATTATTTATGTACGACCGCCCACGTGCAAATCAGATGAGAAATAGGAAGTTGCATAGTAACCATGGTAATGGTGTTGAAACACGCACATGCACGTGCAATGATCGTTTTAACATCATTTTTATCAGGTTTGTGGTAATTACGACTACGTTGTGTTCAGTGCGAGCTACATTTTAATGGGCTGTGTAGTTGTGATATTTTTTGATGCTACAAAAACTGACTACCAAAGAATATTATTACCTTCCTCCCTGTGACCACGGGTTTTCTAGTCTCTTCTTAAAATAAACCATATCAGCAATCTTGATTAAGTGTCTTGAACTTTAGAATCGAAAGTTGCTTATACTTTTGCATTCTCGATGGGACTAAATCAAATAAACCGGACGTTGCTGTGACAGCAATGTTGTCACGTGACCTCCCAGCTGCGCTTTGATTGGACGTTCTTCTACTAATCTCTTCCTAAAATAAACCAAACATCCATGTACTTGCATATTATTATAAGATTATAAGTCATCCAATATTATTCGATAAATCTTTTTCCGTGAGCCAGAAACAATTCTTGAACTAATAGCACCCTTCGGTTCTTTAACCAAAATACCTTTCTGTCCGTATGCACTACTGCAGTGTTCCCGGTCTGAGAAAATACTACAATATAATCAAGGTACGATGTTGGATACCTGAGTTCTATATCTTTCGATAGCAACTCCATCTATGTATCTGCTTAGCTTCCATCACTGATCCTGGTACTTGAGATTCCAGGTGTGGCTTTAAACAATGTTTTAAGGGCCCAACACTCAGCTCACTCAGTTGATGGTAGAACAGTGGGTCTTTGTGCGATGTTGTAGCAGGGACTCCACTTCTTGTTTTCTCTTGCTAACCAGATTGCATAGGAACATCTGAGAGCAACCAAAGCCGCCTCTTGGAACACTGCTTTCTTTACTCTCTTTGTAACACCAAAGTAGTTTAGTAGGGCTGGTAAGGTATGATGCCAGAAGCCTCTACACCCAACCTCTACCGTAAAAAGCTGAGCTTTCCACCCACTGCCATGCAGCCCAGGAATAAGCTCTCTGTTGTAACGTGCTTGTTTACGTTCTACTTGGTCACTAAAGTTACTCTCGTCACCAACTGTCAACTCTACTAATATGACCACCTTTCCTTTATCAGACCAGACTACAATATCGGGACGTTCTGCAGTTCCGTAGATGTGCTGGGGGAACTGTGCTGGGAGGTCATCTTCGTCCCAGATAATCTGCCAATCTTGGTCTTTCTCAAAAGGGCTCTCTCTTTTCATCTTCGTCTTCGGTTTTTGGTAACAGCTGCTAGATGACTTGAAGCCTGTCCAGTCCTGAACTTCAAGTTTAAAATCTTTGTTGTTGAACTTCTCGATTTGATCCAGTAGGGATTTCGCAATGACCCGCAGCACGTTGTCATGCCTCCAATTGTATCGTTTGTTGTTCAGCGAGAAGTTGCAAGCTACCAAAATGTGCTTAATGTTGCAGTGTCTCCATCCGCAAAGTGGACAGTGTCCTGTGTCAGCATAGTTCCACAGGCTCATGTTTGCTGGAGTATTTGCAACGTCATGGGTTGCATTGAGGTGGAACTTAAGAAGAGCAGGGCTCATCTTGTAGTTGTAAATAAGGTTGTTCCAACCTAGGTCTAGCTGCATGGTGTTTTCCCATGTTAAGAATTGTCCTTGAACTCCCTTGTCTACCAGTGTCAACAGGATATCCTGCTCTGAGATGTGGGATACCAGTTCTTTCAGTTTTTCCTTTTCACTGGCTACACTCCTCTTGGATCCCAAGCCCATCCTGCCTTGCACTGTTACCCCTACTAACTCTCTGAAGTAGAGATCTCTTTCTCTAGCACTCAGCTCATTAGTGTAACCCCACCGACTGCTCCCTTCTTGTTTCTTGGCCCTGTGCTCGTAGACCTCCTTAACTTTAGGATCCTTGCTGTTCTTTAGAGAGTAACCTTTGGACACCTGAAGGAACTTGTATAAGTCCGATAGTCTTTTAAGATTCAATCCAAAGCAATCCTTATTTCTGTAAAGCACACTGACAGTAATTGTCTTTGTTACACCTAGCCATTTCTTCAGATACTTCGTACATATTGCTTCAAGATCTTTGACAAAACTAACCGGGAGATTGTAGATCATCAGGTCCCAGGAGAGCTTGCTGGTTAGGAGGTTGTTGTAAATCCAGCATTTCATCACTCCATTAAGGCCTGATCCGTCCACTGCCTGAAACAGTGTAATCAGTTTGTCTTCTATCAGCTTCTTGGTATCTTTGAGGCCCAGATCCACATATATCCAATGGCCAAGAAACTTCATCGGTGTATTTCCAATAAACTGGATTTGAGCTCCATCTATGAAAATTTCAGGGTCATAGGACACATACCTTCCATCTATAACCTTCATCCCCAGGGATACGCATTTACTCGGCTTGGCTTTCATTTTCCTTGACCAAGTAAGAAATCTTTCCATCACATCTATTAGCTTCTTCATCTTTTCCAGCCTGGGAGACATCAGAGTTAGGTCGTCAGCAAAAGCACGACTTGACGTGCTGCTAGAACTAAAAGACGGCTTGTAACCCAAGTCGCTTTGATTTTTCAGGAGATCCAATAGTAGGTTGAAAACTATTAAGAACAGTACAACCGATAGAGGGTCGCCCTGAAAAAGACCTAACATATAAAAGAACCAGTTTGTTTTCCAGTCCTTTGTCACCACTCTCACAATCAGCTCATCATAGTACTTAAACATATATTCTATGAGCCAGTTTGGGAACTTATAATGTCTTAGAGCATATATTATCAAGTTGTGGGGAACCCGGCCGTAGGCGTTCATTAGGTCCACCCAAACTGCAAAGATCTGTCGTCTATTAGATTTGGCATCCTTCAACTCTTCCATCAGAGCCTGAGTATGCTCGAGGCAACCTGGTGTCTTACGCAGGAATCCTTTCTGGATAGACGTGTCTATGTAGCTATTGCTGACCATATACTCTAGCATTCTGTCCGCTAGTAATCCCATCTGCAACTTCCCACTAGTGTTTGTTTTAGTGATGTTTCTGAACTTACTAAGGTCATCTAAATCCTCAGTTTTTGCTATCAGAATGGCTTCACCTACTCGCCATTGCAGCGGGACTCTCTGGCTTTCCCATAGAGAATCCAGCAATTTGAATACTGCTTTCGCCATTCTGGGACATCTCTTATATACCAGATATGGGACTCCATTCGGACCAGGTGATGATTTATTTCTACGGCTTTTCAGCTTCGTTTGAAACTCATCCCAGTCCAATCTCTCCATCTCAAATGCAGTCTTTGGTACTGGGGCATCGGGCAGTCCTCTAATACACCTAAGAAAATAGTCATAGTCATAAGTCATAGGATCGTTCGGAAAAGCGAGCGACCGATTTCATTATCGGTATCATTTTGCATTTGCAGACGGTCAAGCAAATTAATATCATTTCCTTTTGTTTGGGTAAGAGAAATTGTTGATTTCATTTTCTCTCGAGTTTTAGGACACCAATGACGGCAATGCGTTTAAAACTTTAAAAGGAACTAATGAACAAATATTTGACAAAAATAACAAAAAAGTGACAAAAATAGCCGATATTTCGGTACGGGCGGTATACCTTCTGCTGGGCTAAAATATGATTTATCGTCTGAGTGAAATATATTAAAGTCACTATATTGTGACGGTACATTAGAACTAGACAGAAACAAAGTGTGAAGGGCCTGAACGGAACCCCTCGGTTTCAGTTCCTTGTTTAACACTGCCATATATAGACTTGCTTCTTCACTTAATCATACCAGGTAGTTTAAAGTTTAAATGTTTCCATGAGCTGCATACAGAGCAGTGAAAAATTTGAGGTATTTTAAATCCTAAAACTTTGAGATGCACATAACCCTGTGTTTTAATAAATGTAAAAGATAAATATATCACTTAGAAATAATCCCAGGAAATAGCATAAGTGTCCTTACAGCAGATCAAATTAAATATGATTGTCTGGACGACCTTTTTGGAGTATCTCAGGTGTCCATTTCTTGAGGAAGGTGCTGATATCCACTCGGCCACGTTGAGGATCCGTGGGATGGGCTGAGAGCGTGTACTGTGCCCCGGAAGCAGTTCGTTCGTTGACCAGTCTCGCACTTGCTTCGTGGGCTCTCATTCTCTTCAGAACTATCTAGATCTTCCTAAGGCTAGAGCAGCCTACGTACGTGGGTTTATCTTGAGCGGGGCACATGTTGCATGTCAATTGATGTACATACTACATAGTGTGTGGTTCGGCATGGCATGCCAGCAGTACAGAAGAGTCAGTCGTATTTGTCACATGATTCGTTGGGTGGAGGGTTGATCATGGATTTGACGGGTCAGCCCGACGTCACTACCAGTCTTGCGTCAATTCCACTTCTATTGAGCTCCGTTCTCATTAGTCTAGTGTGGGCTTCACTTATGTACGGCACCTTCAGGATGTATTTGGGGTTGATCCTGGGTTGAGTGGTGATTCAATTACTTCAATAATTGAGAAAGAGAGACACTGGCAGCGGTCCACTCTACCCATGGTTATGGGTTTTTTTCAAATTTAAGAAATGCTTTCAAAAATGCTTTCAAATGTGCGTGTTATCCGTTGCAGCTATTCAGACGTTATTCAGCTTTGTGGTCCTGTCTATAATTCCATTCTCGATGGGACTAATCAAATAAACCGGACGTTGCTGTGACAGCAATGTTGTCACGTGACCTCCCAGCTGCGCTTTGATTGGACGTCATATAAATTAAGGTTCTTCTACTAATCTCTTCCTAAAATAAACCAAACCTCCATGTAACTGCATAACATTATAAGTCCAATATTATTCGGATAATCTTTTTCCGTGAGCCAGAAACAATTCTTGAACTGATAGCACCCCTCGGTTCTTTAACCAAAATACCTTTCTGTGCGTATGCACTACTGCAGTGTTCCCGATCTGATATAATACACCTAAGACATTAGTCATAGTCATAAGTCATAGGATCGTTCGGAAAAGCGAGCGACCGATTTTATTCTCGGTATCTGATCATTTTGCACTTGCAGACGGTCAAGCAAATTAATATCGTTTCTTTTTGTTTGGGAAAGAGACGTTGTTAATTTCATCTTCTCTGCGTGTTAACCGTCGCAGCTATTCAGAAGTTATTCAGCTTTGTGCTCCTGTCTAATTCCTTCCGAGTTGGTCAACGCCCCAGCAATCTTGACTAAGTGTCTGGAACTTTAGAATCAAAAGTTGATACTTTCGCATTCTCGATGGGACTAAATCAAATAAGTCAGAATTTGTAGGTTCACGAGGTATGTATGTACGAATTTATTCGATTAGACTCGTGCAAAATGATATTATGAACAGTTAAGCAACGAAATACCTTACAAAAATGTGAGAAATTTCCTGAGCTGACGTGGGCTGATCATGGGGGGAGGGGTATAAAGGGAGGTATTGTTTAACGGTGTGCTTAGTTGGTTTATTTCCCTTGTCCTCGCTTCTGCATTAATTTAAGCTGTTGATCGCCCTTATAGTAGGTGTAGTGGTCAGCCTATCTGACGATCGCATCCACTGACTAGCCTTTTAACAGGGTCTCCTATATTGTATGGGGAAAACTGTCTTAGTGGTATAAGGGAAAAGAAGCAGTTCTAACGAGCGCTTCTAACGAGCGCTTCTCAAACACAAGGATATATCTTGTGAACTTGGCTAGTATATATGAAACATTTGACATGGAGTTGTAGAGTGAGCTATGTGCCTCGCCGGGCTAAAGTAGTGGATGTCCTTGCTGTACGGCAAGTTAAACAAGGAACTGAAACTACTAGGTTCCGTACAGACTCAACTCTGCACCCATGTCAATATGTTCATTATATGCAAGCCTCTTGATTTATAACATCATATTAGGCGGCTGCAATATTATGCTTGAATATCCTGGAGTTTCCCTTGTGCCTTGGCCTTACTGACTTACTAAGTTACTCTTAGGTAGCTGTCTGAATATGGCATTGGCTTCACGTGGTGCCGTGACATACCATGGCTGTGAAGTGTGATCCAGTGGTGCACGCTGCCGCCGAACGCTGCCACCGCTGAGTTTTTGCTCACGCCGCCACGCAAGAATAAATCAGCGGCGGCGTGAAAGAATTTTGAAATATCTTCCATCGGTAAAATTAAATTGATTTATCAATCCTGTATCAATATGTCTGACGTCATCAGCTTTAAACGTGGCACATGCAATGTTACATGTTATTGTGCATTGTAGCATGCTTGGGCATTTTCTTGTTTGACGAAGTCACAACTACAATTGCCAAGGGGCCACGCCACCGAACGCCGCAAGTTTTGGCCTCGCCGCCGCCGATTTTGACAAAACGCGGCGGCGTGCATCACTGCTCTGATCTTTAACCAATTAGGGTTCATGCTTCACACGCCGGAGCCGGAGGTATCATAGTCTATTCTCCGTCACAAACACTTAAACACAAGGTTAAATGCCAACTTGAATGAGCAAAAAGTGCCATATTCAGTCTTTTATCGACAGATATACCTACCTAAACACAAGGAAATGTTTTCAAAGGTAAAATGTCGAAATCGTTGAAATTACCTCCTTATAGTTATTCATGAAATTTCGACTGTGTAAATTATCCTGACATTATAATCAAAAAGAGATGATATTTGACCAAAACCCATAATCATGGGTAGAGTGAACCGCTGCCAGTGTCTCCCTTTCCAAACAAAAGGAAATGATATTAATATGAGGAACCGTCCGCAAATGCAAATTGATACCGAGAATGAAATCGGTCGCACGCTTTTCCCATTCATTCACGGCTTACGAATTGTAATAAAGCTTATTGAATGGGAAATTGGAAAAGCGAGCGACCGATTTCATTCTCAGTATCAATTTGCATTTGCGGACGGTTCCTCAAATTAATATCATTTCCTTTTGTTTGGAAAGGGAGACACTGGCAGCGGTTCACTCTACCCATGATTATGGGTTTTGGTCAAATATCATCTCTTTTTGATTATAATGTCAGGATAATTTACACAGTCGAAATTTCATGAATAACTATAAGGAGGTAATTTCAACGATTTCGACATTTTACCTTTGAAAACATTTCCTTGTGTTTAGGTAGGTATATCTGTCGATAAAAGACTGAATATGGCACTTTTTGCTCATTCAAGTTGGCATTTAATTCATATATAATGCCATTTAAATATCGTGGGAAAGCAGAATATATTCGAAATCACGAATGAGCAAAATTCTCACCTTTCGCACGTGCAAACTTTGAGCGGACGTTGCATGCGCATACAATATTGAATCACCGTAAATTTTTGCATAGTGGTATTTAATATATAGTTTGACAAGCACGCAAAGTTTCAGAAGATTTCAAAAAGAACTTGGATCACAACGGGACTCCAAAGTTGATCAAAATGGTGAAAACAGCAATTTTCAGTAATTTTAGCAATTTTCTATCAATTTGGGCGTGTCCCCACGTGTGCAACTTTTTGATTTTCAACTTTAAAACTAGCCTATTACACAATATTGACCTTTAAGAAGCAAAATTGAGCTCCACAAACCAAGGGATGGTCCAACACCAAAGAATACTAATTCACAACTTTTGTGTTTTTATAAAATTATTCTTCAAAAAAGCACTAACTTCAATAGCGAATATCTTTATGAAGGAGTAAGGTAAGAAACTTTTCCGGTAGATTTTCGACAAAAA